TTTTGCCAAACAAGAGGTGGACTTCTTGGGGCATAAGATCAAGGATGGGAAGCTCATGATGGACCCAACTAAGGTGCAAGCCATTGAAGAATGGCAGCCTCCTACCAAGGTCCCAGAGTTAAGATCATTTCTTGGTCTGGTGAACTACTATCGACGGTTCATCAAGGGGTATTCAAAAATCACTGCTCTATTGACAGATTTACTCAATAAGAACAAATCTTAGCAATGGTCACCGGATTGCCAGGATGCTTTTGAAAAGCTGAAGCAGATGGTCACGCAAGAGCCTGTTATGTCCTTGCTTGACTACTCCAAGCCGTTTGAGGTACACACCGATGCCTCAGACTTTGCAATAGGGGGCGTGTTAATGCAAGAAAGACACCCTATTGCGTACGAGAGCCGCAAGCTCAATGACACAGAGAGGCGCTACACGGTGCAAGAGAAAGAGATGTCTGCCATCATCCATTGTCTACGAACCTGGCGTCATTACTTACTTGGGAGCAAGTTTACTATTATGACAGACAATGTTGCTACGAGCTACTTCCAAACACAAAAGAAGCTCAGCTCGAAGCAAGCTCGCTAGCAAGATTTTCTTGCTGAGTTTGATTATCAGTTGGAGTACAAGCCAGGCAAAGCGAATGTGGTGGCGGATGCCTTAAGCAGGAAAGCCGAGTTAGCCACTCTCTCAACAAGCATGCCCCAGAATGACTTCCTTGAAAGAATCAAGGAAGGAATGTCTCAGGACTCATCCGCAAGGGACTTAGTAAAGCTTGCTACCGAAGGCAAGACTTGAAGATTTTGGGTGAATGATGGAATACTCTACACCATTGGGAACCGAGTCTATGTGCCGAAATGGGGCAACCTTCGAAGGGATGTCCTAAAAGAGTGCCATGATTCCATGTGGGCCGGACATCCAGGTATGACCAGAACACATGCTCTCGTACAAAATCATTTCTATTGGCCACATATGCAAGACGATGTCGAAGCATATGTGAGAACTTGCTTAGTGTGCCAGCAAAATAAGGTTGAACAACAACATCCTGCTGGTCTACTCAAACCTTTGCCGGTGGCTGAGAGACCATGGGAGAGCGTCTCCATGGACTTCATAGTTGCTCTCCCTAAGTCTGAAGGATGTGGGAGTATCATGGTGGTGGTTGATAGATTCAGCAAATATGCCACCTTTATACCAACCCCAGCAGATTGCAAGGTTGATGAAGCGGCATGCTTATTTTTCCAGCATGTCGTGAAACTATGGGGGATCCCTCGCAACATCGTCAATGATCGAGATCCCCGATTCACCGGAAAATTCTGGAGGGAACTTTTCAAGCTCTTGGGGACAGATTTGAATTTCTCAACAAGCTTTCATCCTCATGGCGATGGACAAACAGAGCGAATCAACGCTTTGTTAGAGCTCTACCTTCGGCACTATGTGAGCGCTCATTAATGAGATTGGGCTAAGTTGCTCGATGTGGCCCAATTCTCTTACAACTTGTAGCGAAGCGAGTCGACAGGTAAGAGCCCTTTTGAGATAGTTACCGGACAACAACCTCTAACTCCCAACGCACTTGCCACACCATACAAGGAAGACAAGCCAGCTGCCTATAAGTTTACCAAGGAATGGCAAGAAGAAGCCGACATTACTCGTGCATGCCTGGATAAAGCTTCCCGAAAAATGAAGAAGTGGGCAGACAAGAAGCGGCGCCCCATTGAGTTTCAAGTAGGTGACTTGGTCATGGTCAAGTTATTGCCAAATCAATTCAAGTCACTACGCAAAGTCCATAAGGGCTTAGTCAGGAGATTTGAAGGTCCTTTCCCCATCATCAAACGTGTGGGAAAGGTTGCGTACCAAGTACAACTCCCTCCCAGGCTAGCAAAAAGTGACTCATCAATCAAATAATGTTTGGGTTGATGGAAATGAAATATTAAAAATAAAACAAATGTTATAAAAAAAAGTAGAACAAATGTTTGTTTGTTATAAAAAAAAATTAATTTGTAATTGATCCTAAGTAAGGTTCATATAAATTTAAAAAATAGAAAGGATATTTTTTTTTAAAATATCATGTTGATCCCTTCCTCATAAAGAAGTGGATCCTACCCAAATGCATTTCTCACACGGCACATACCACACCCATAACATTTTTTGTTCCCCCCTTTTTTTTGCCTGAATTTTTTTTTTGGTTCCCATTTAATCATGTGGAAGTTTGATTCTTTAATCTTTTGCATCAAGAAGTATGGTTACAAGAATGGGTACCGATAAACCAAAAGATTATTAGCAAAAAAAAGAGCATTGTATTTAAAATGAAAGAGAAATAGAATCAATGCATTTCACTTTGAAAATTATAACTAATTTTTTAAACCTGCTTTGTTTAGAATTACTCTCTCTGTTAAAAAATGTAAAGCATTTTTTGAAGGGTTAGATGTTAAAAAATGTAAGACATTTTTAATTTTTTAATTTATAATTATTGACTTTTTTTCCTCTCAAAAGTGTCCCTATTGAGTAAATTACTTTATATTTATTTTAAAATGAAATACCATATTAAATAAGAGTAAATATAAAAATATAAGGTTAATTTAGAAATAAATAACCACTTTTTTTGGTGGTGAAATTTAATTAAAAATGTCTTATATTTTTTAACGGAGGAAGTATATAATAATAGTCATAAGTAAGGATGGAAATAGGCAAGGCTCCCGATACATCTTGGCTAAAAGTGTTCAGAACCGATCAAAACCGAAAGGATCGATCCAAACCAACCCAAACCAAAAGAAATCGATCAAAATTGAACAACAATAAAGACTACTTCAGTTTTTATGATATGAGAATCGATTGGTTTGGTTCAAGTTCGATTTTGAGTATAAGAAACCGAACCAAACCAAGCCAAACTTGATTAAAAAATATTAGTTATTATTTATTAAATATATAACCATTTATCTACAAGAAGCATTTTGTTTTGAATTTTTTATAGTAATGGATAAACATTTTTAAAGGACTTGAATGGAAATGCATAATATTAAATAATTATAACAATGATGCCATGACCATCATTTAATTATTTACAATTTGAAAGTCTCAGTATTCAATTTATTTAAAAGAAATATTTTATTTTAAATTTTATATAATAAGTTTTTCATTATTTATTAAAATATAGATACATAGATAAACATTTTCAAAGGACTTGAATGAAAATGTATAATATTAAATAATTTTAATCTTAAAAACTTATATCAATTTTTATGATTAATTATCATTATCACATTAAAATTTTATTATATTTTTATACCTCTATTTATGAAAAAATGGAGCAAAAAAGAATTAGATTTAATTTTAATACATAGCATCATTATGAAGATGGAAAAAAGGAAAAAAAAATTAAATAAGTGCATTGAAGCCCGATTCAGACCTTAACCAAACCAAACCAAATCGAACTCCATAAAAACCGATCAGGTCCCAATTATGAGTAAACCAAATGGTTCGGTTTGATTTGGTTTTTGGCCAAAACCAAACCAAATCGAACCTATGAACACCCTTAATCTTGACCTACTTTAGGTTGGCCTAGTTTATTTACTATAGGCTCAGGCTAGGTTTAGGCATTTAATTAGGTTTATTTAACTAAATAGGCTAAGTTTATTTCTTCAAGGCTTAGCTTACGAGCTCTCCAGGCCGACCTATTTACACACACATATTATGTAATATATCACACACATCAATTTCGTCTTTTAATTTTTAATGAATCTATTCTTTTTATTTTTAATTATATTTTTAATTGGATTGAATTTATATATTAATTTTAATATTATTACTTTATTGTTGTACTGTATTGTAGTTAGTAAGTCTTTGTAATTATTATATATTGTAATTAATAAATCAAGTTATATATTGTATACTAATAGTTCTAAAATATATTTAAAACGTTGAAAACTAAAATGTAAGCTTATTTAAAATGTTTATTTTTAAGTAGGCTTTCAGGCCAGGCCAGGCCTTAGGTAGGCTCAAGCCCGAGCCATGAAAAAAATCTTATACAGGCTTTAGGTTAGACTCAAGCTTTTCACTTACCATACAGACTCATGCTCATTTGGCCAAAGCTTAACTTGGCCTAGTCTATTTTCATCCCTACAAAGACTTGACAGATTAACTCTTACCACAATTTCCACAAGATCAACATTCCCTCTTGGTATATTTGTTTCAAAACATTATTAAAATACTCAATCATAAATTTTAATCTTAATTCAAACTCCTAGGTTATTACATTTTACATGTGCAAATATATGAAAGAAAATTACATTTTATTAAAGATCAATTGCATATTGTGAAAGACAGGTTGCATATGTTTTTAAAAGAATCCATAAGGGAAATTAGCAAGAAATATTCAAATATGAATAAATAATATTCAAATATGTGAAGGAAAATTGTATTTCATTGAAAATCAATCGCATATCACGGAGACAGGTTGCATATGCTTTCAAAGATATTTATAAAAAAAAATTAGTAAGAGATATTCAAATAATATGCACAAGTAATATTTGACTATATGAAAAAAAAATTACATTTCATTAAAAATTAGTCGCATATAGTGCAAAAAAAATTGCATATGTTTCATTGAAGATGATTTGCATATATCATGAAAGAAACATTGTATATGACATATTGACACTAAAGGACCTCATGCTTCAAGACTTAATAAATTGACAACAAAAAACCTTATTTCACATGTTGACACCAAAAAACCTTATGTTACATATTGACATTTAATAATTGATGATGAAAGACCTGTGACATATTAACAACCAAAAATCTTGTATAACATATTAACAACAAAAAACCTTACTCAATTTTTATTTTTTGTTTTTTTAGGCCCTTTACAGCATTTAACATTTAATAATTATTAACAGCAAAGGACTTTTTTTTTCAAAACAATCCCAAGTCCTTCTTAGCAGTTAGATTTCCGGTGAATTTTTTATTATAGCAATTTCTCCTTTTTCACTTTGAAAAAATAAAAAATACAAAATACAAAATCTGTACCGTCAAATTTAGTAAGCGGATGCGGAGGAGGGTTCCCTCCTTAGGAAGCCAATGCCGAACAAGGGGAAAAAAAAGCGCACTGAGACAACTCAAACCTAATTGTCTCTCAAATATTTTGGGGGTTAAAAAAGCAGTGAGTTTCACTGAGGACATTGAACAAACACCTTGCGTGTGCTCTCTTTCCCATCGCAAAATCGAATCCTTCAAACAGACAATCGAAAAAAGGACCAATCAAAGAGGAAGAAAAGATTGATTATAGCCCCACCTAGACTTTATCATCCGGCTTTGATTCTTCAGAAGAAGGGAAAGTGTCCACCACTGCCGAACCAAGCGACACCTCATGGTTTTGTTGTTGTTGTTGATGATGTTGATGGTCAGCGTTCATGGCGTTCTCAAGGTCCCTCAATCTCGTCCTCACCACGCTGGTGATCAAAACTGCCACAAAAACGAGCATGAGAAAGTTTTCAAATCGAACAAAGAAAGAAAATCGAAAGGCAGTTGAATCAGAGCGGGTACTCGCGGCGGTTCCGATGGTCCAGATCCATAGGATCTTCAAGCCAGGGCTCTTCTCTTTGGGCATGTAGACGAAGATCGAAGATAAGCTAGGTTGTGCCTGCAAAAGTGAATTTGTGAGAGGAATAAGCGAAAATGAAGAAATTTTGCAGAAGAAGAAGGAGAAGAAACCTGAAAAGCCAAAACGGGAAGGGATCGGAGTGCGAAGGATTCGCATTAGGGTGAAGAGAAGGGAAGTTACTCCCCAGTTCAGTCTCGCAGTGTGAGTGACAGATCCATAACGGGGTGTGATTTCCTTTCGCTAGGTTAAACTATTTTTCACATCAAGTTTTGTTTTTTTTTTAAAAATATTTTCATCTTTATTTGAAAAAAAATAATAATAAAATTTTTTTAAATTATATAAATAATAATTTAATTTCTCAAGTGCCATAACATGAATGAAGTTTTTGGGATTCTCTTTGTTAATAAGTTTTTTAGAGAAAGATTATTTTATTCTTACTAAAAAATAATAAAATTTAATCAAAACTTTTATTTAAAAAATTATAACTTTTATTTTATCAAGTATAGTTTTTATTATTAAAAATAAATCTCAATGATAACTTTTGTTTTAAGAATATCAATTTTTGTATGTGAATCACAATAATTAGACAAAAAAATCACAATTCATCAAGTTGTAATTTTTATTATTGAAAAATAAATTCTTAAAATAATAAGCTTCATTCACAATTTTTATTTAAAGAATTAAATTTTTTTAAAAAAAATTACAAGAACTAAACAAAAAAATATAATTTGTTAATAAAGTTAAAATGATTTTTTTTGAAAAAAGTTATTAAAAAAAAATCTCTAAAGACTTTATTATATTATGACATTTTAAAAAATTAAATTATTATTACAAATTGAGAGATTTTATTATTATTATATTTTATTTAAACTTTTAAAGAAATCAAAATATAAATAAAAATTGATAATTTTAAGACAGGAAAATTACAATGAAATTCTAAAAAAAAAAATTAATTCCTTTTTCAATTTATTTCACAGTCAAATTTCAACGTTTACATGTTAAAACTCAATATTTATAAAAAGACAGAATTTGTAAGTAATTAATTTTTTTATCCTAGATCTATGTGCAATGTTCCCAAAACCTTTTGGGAAAATTATGTTAAATAGGTTTTAAAAATAAACCCAGAAGATAGATAAAGGAAAATGGTTATAAAAATGTTAAATATATGAGGATATTATGAAATTTAAAAGTCAGTAAATAATAAACCATGTTATAAAAAAATGAAGATACAAAAATAGTATAAAATTAAAAAATAAAAAAATATGTGATTTTTGTAAGGGTAACTGAATATAAAATAATTTTCATTTTATAAAATCTTTTTTTTTTCTGTTGTATAAAGAAAAAAAATCATTTTCATAAAATCTCTAGACAACCTAAAAACTAAAGATGGTATTGGGCCAAGTTCAACTAACCAATCTGAATTCTCAAATGCCCAATAAATAATATTTTTAAAATATATAAAATATAATAAATATTAATTAATTATGTAAGTTTTATATTATTTTATACAAAATAACATATATTTGAGTGCACTATTATAGGTATTTTAAATAAATAAAAATATTTATATTTTCATATTTTATTATTTTTAATTAATAAAATATCTCAAAAATAATATTTAAAATATATTTTAATATTTATTTTATATATTTAAGACCCAATATTTTTTACATTTTTTTTTAGTCATATACCATCATTTGAGTATCCAACAAAATAAGATAATTAATTTTAAAAAATTTAAAATTAAAATAATTTTAAAAATATAAATTGGGACATGTACAAATTCCTACCTCCACTATTAGATCAACAAAATAAATAAAATAATATTTATGGATAATTAATTGGTTATCATCTACACCAGAGTTGGTTAAAAATTAAGAATAAATTAAAGTAAAATCTCTCTAGTATGTCGGTTAAATAATATAAAAAGATAAAAAAAAATTTTGAAAAAAATAGCATTTTACTCATAATTAAATAATTTATTTTATAATATAGTGATAACTATTTTTCTCTTATTCTTAAAAACAAAAAGTATAATTTACACAAAAGTTATTAAAAATTTTAAACTAATAGAAGAACATATTTTTAAGTTAGTGGTTTAACCGTGATTGAATTAAGATCAACTTAATTATAATTAAAATAATTTAATTTAATTTAAATATTTATATATGATCATTATAAGAGCAATATTTAAAAAACTAAAATATTAATTTATAAGTAAAGAAAATATTCATGAATGAATTATACATAATATAACAAAACAATAATAGAGTTGCTTAAGTACAACGTTGATGAGTTATTATTTTTATTTTATTTTTTAATATTAAAATAATATGTTATGCTTAAAAAATTATTTAAAACTTAAAATTGGTTGCAAAATAAAAGAAAAATATTTTAAAAAGTTTTAGATATTCGAGCTGACCAAATAAACTTAAAGATTTTTGGGCCAGGCTTGGTTATATGAACTTTTTAACAAAAGTAGAATACTTTAAGTTCAATTTAAATAAATCTATCCTAAATTAAACTCAACTTAAATAAGTCTAACACATCCGAATCATTGGCTCTCTAAAAAACTAATGATTGTTTAGGTTTAAATAAATGGGTTGTTAGCCTTTTTTTTTTTGACCAAGCAAGGAATGGATTGTTATACTTGCCTTATGTAACATCCTGATTTTTAGATAATAAAAAAATGTGAAATTTAGATTTTATTGAGGATAAAAAAATAATAATAATAGAAATTTATATTATTTAAGGTTATTAAAAATAATAATATGGTTAGGTATTTAAATATGAATTAAAAATTTAAATTTAAAATCACATAAAATATTTAGTTAAGATATAATTTTAAAATTTAGAATATATAAATAATTTTTTATGTGTGTGTTAGTAAAAAAAAAAGAGAGAAAAGTGGAAGGACAAAAAAAAAAGAGGTGAAAGGTTGTTTTTTTTTTAGGTCTCACATTGGTTAGATGTGAGAAGAAAGAATGCCCCCTCGTGTATAAAAGAGGAGGACCACGCATCACTTGAGGCAAAAAAAAAAAAGCATTGAGCAATTTGTGAAAATTATAACTAATGACCCAAAAGTTTTAATAATTAAATTTAAATCTATAATTTTTTTAATAATATAATTGTGGAACCCATAATCTCATTTTTAATTACAACATTGTGTTATATATATATATATATATTTCTTCCATTAAAAAATATAAGGCATTTTTAATTGAATCTCAGTTTTTAATAAAGTAGTTATCTATTTTCAAACTAACCTATCTTTTTATATTTACCTATATTAAACACTTTACATTAAATATAAAATCATTTCTTAATAAGGACACTTTTGAAAAAACGGCAATGATTACATTTTAAAAGATGAAAAATATCTTATATTTTTAATATTCAACTCCTTAAAAATGTTTCATATTTTTTAATGAAAGAATTAAAAACATCATTGTTATATTAATGGCATATCATCTTCAAGGGACCTTAACAAAATTGACAAGTGGCCCAGTCTTTTTAGACCTCTTAAACTCTAAGATCAAGTTTGAAGAAAAAAATAGCTCTAGGCTATTCGGATTTATTAAAGTATAAAAAGACATTTATTTGTTATTTCAATTTTTCTTAATTATTGAAATGAAGGGGGGATACGATTTAGTACTTTGGTGAATAAGAACATAGCGTTGTATTTTAAATACAAGGATTCGGAAAAATCCTTGCAAAAGAAAAAAAAAAAGCAAGCCATATCAAAGTTTAAAAAGATTCTTCTAAAATGGTGATTTTAAGAATGTCATTAGTTGTATTTTGAACTAGACAATTAGTACAATCATTTACTTCTTTGAACATATGGTCGAAGATGATTATTCAATTTTTAATTACAAAATCCTTGATGATATTGAGAGCTTTATAAAGGGGGCGTTCATTGAAAAAGTTATGTTGGATAAGCATTAAAACTTTAAGATAATCAGAGTATGTATTGACTTTTGCAAATTTGTTGCAAAGATTAAGGCCTTCAAAATGGACAAAAACCTCTATATCACTGCTAGGGTGATAATCAAGACATTTGAAGAAATCTTTAGGCCAATTAGCTTGGATGATTTGTAGATAACAACATGAAAAAAAAATTGTTCTCTGTCACGGGCTGAGAGTCTGGCGCAGCACACGGCGCCCGTGTGGCGTCCTGGAGGACCCCATAATCCTCAGGACAAGCCTTACCACATACGGATCACACTGGTTTGGCCCTGCCATGGGCTCATCAGGAGGCGGCACTAGCCCCCAACCAGTTGTGCACTCAGTCCGAAGACTGAGGCAGAACGCACCCAATGCCAATGTTGCCCCCTTTACCCATATTGTGCGAGGCTAACCAGCGGATCGTTCATTATCTTGGTCTTTACACAGTCACGGAGATATCATCCGTGACATTCTCCCACACCCAATCTAGCACGCCCTCGTGCTAGGGGAAAAGACTCCGCCCAAGGATCGTACGTACAGTATTGCCACAAACACATCAGCTTACTGCTGAATGGCCACTCGAGTTCTGCACTCTTCGGACCCACTCGCACCCGCGAGCCAACAGGAGTGGGGTCGACAACGGCCAACCTTCCCGCCCGAGTCCCCACTTTTGGACCTACCTACTCGGAGGCCTTTCTGGAGCGGTGCCGAGGTCGACCAGTCCCAACGTGGGACCCCACAGACACACGGCAGTAAAGTACGTCCTGCTCTGATACCACTCTGTCAGGGGCTGAGAGTCTAGGTAGCATACGGCGCCCGTGCGACGTCCTGGAGGACCCCATAATCCTCAGGACAAGCCTTACCACATACGGATCACATTAGTTTCACCTTGCCATGGGCTCATCAGGGAGGCGGCACTAGCCCCTAACCAGTTGTGCACTCAGTCCGAAGACTGAGGCAGAACACCCCCAATGCCAATGTCGCCCCTTTAACCCATATTGTGCGAGGCTAACCAACGGATCGTTCATTATCTTGGTCTTTACACGGTCACGGAAATATCATCCGTGACATTCTCCCAAACCCAATCTAGCACGCCCTCGTGCTAGGGGAGAAAGACTCCGCCCAAGGATCGTACGTACAGTATTGCCACAACACATCAGCTTACTGCTGAATGGCCACCCGAGTTCTGCACTCTTCGAACCCACTCGCACCCGTGAGCCAACAAGAGTGGGGTCGACAACGGCCAACCTTCCCGCCCGAGTCCCCACTTTGGACCCACCGACTCGGAGG